ACTCAGCTGCTGGTGACAGATGGATCTCCTCTCGGTGCCTTGGTTTGTCCCTCTGTAAAATGAGGAAGCTCCTAAAGCCCACCTGTGAGCCAGGACCGTGCAGGTACTGAGGACTGAGGAGGCCAGAGCTCTGCCTGGCAGGGCAGGTACCCGCCCATCCAGCCATATCCCCTGTAGGGCTGGGATGTGGTGATGTAGCTGGCAGATCTCCCAGGAATCTCATTTGGGATGGGGTGGAAGTGGGGGGACCACTGCCAGTCCAAAACACTTTATTGGAACTGCAGTGCCTCCTCGTGGTTGATGGGAGCAACTGCACCCTTGCTCTTGGCCTTTTGGGAGCCTGGCCCCAGAGCACTGGAAGGCGGGCTTGGCTCTGGCATAAGAGCGTGCACTACCGACTGGTAGCTGAGGGCATCTGCACGTTTCTGGAAGGCAGTCTGTCTATTTATGAGAGGCCTAAACCTGTGCATAGGATTTATCTTGGTGTTTCTAGTTTGGGGAGTTTACGCTAAGGTGATCACTACGGATGAAGATTTAATTTCAAGAGTGTTATCACAGTTGTTAACAATTTTGTATCATCAGAAACCTGTGTGCCTAATGGTAGAGGACTGGGTCATTAGTTTGTCCCTGTGGAATATTATGCAGCGTGGAAAGATGTAGAGGACGTAGAGTTAAGTTTTTTTAAAAAAACATATAAATAGGTTGTGTGTGTGTGTGTGTGTGTGTGTGCCTGCGCACGCGCATGCATGTTGCAATTTTCTTCTCTTTCCTTGTCTCCATTTTTTTGTTTTCCAAATAGAACACAGATTATGACTTTGAGACAAAAAGCCACAAACGTGACAGAAAGCGCAAGACGTCCAAGTGATAGCAGTCACGATCCACACCAGTGAGGGCGGAAGGACAGGCCAGGGAGATGCAAGGTGGCCACGGAAATGCAGAAGCCTGGGGCCCCTGCAGTGCACTGTGGGAGAGGAAGTGGGTTGTGGTGGGCGGAAGGGAGGGGCTCTGGCAGGAGGAGCCAGTCTGGCCTGCAGGACCCTGAATGCCACAGTAAGCCTGATTTGTAGGCCTGGCAGATTTAGCAAAAAGCAAACAAACACAACGAAACCAGGACACTGTTAGGTTTGATGTTGAATGCAGAATGGATCAGTATTCATGTAAGCGTCTCCTGTGTGGTATTTGGGATGTTCTTAGCATTCACTATCTGGAATTCCAGTTTAACAGAGCATCCTGTGTTGCATTTGGCGATGGTCTTCTCTCAGTTCCCATAATCCCACTGCAACGGGCCCAGCACTGCTTCAGATAACAGCTTAACCCGCCCACGGGAGAGCAAATAAAACATTCATTCTAGACCAGAAACACCAAAACAAAAAGGACAGAGTTAACCCATATATCCATATTCCTGCTTCCAGAAACTTCTAGAATTTTCTAAGGACAGACATTTCACAGTCTCCCCATTTTTTGTCAAAATGAGGTTTACTTAGTATAAAGTGACAATCTTCCCATGCGTGAAAATGCTATTCTCAGATTCATTCATTCATTCATTAAACATTTATTGAGCATCTGCTGTGGTCCAAGTGTAATGGGAGCAAACCAGTATAATCAAAGAGATGAATGGCTTTAGTTGCACCACCTAGACTGCCTCAGTGTCCTGAATCCATCTGAGATATTTCCCTTTTGTGGTCATTTTGACCTTGGGGAAAGCCAGAAGTCACATAGTGCCAGATCTAGTGAAGGAAGCAGATGATGACACCGTCGTGTTTTTACGAGGCTGCCTTCTCACTGGGTGGTACGGAGGAGCAGCATTCACCATATTTTTTTATTACACCCTATAAAGACCTTCATGAAAGAGGACTCCAGAACTGCTTCAGAAAATGGCAAGGCCAGTGGGAAAAGTGTGTTCAAAGCGGGGGGAGTGCTTTGAACAGGATTCACAGCAGTGCTCCTTTCAATGTAGTACACTTTAAAACGTAAACCCTCGTCATATATTTTGATCACCCTGTGTATTCCCTCTTTTGTGGGAGGGAAAGAGAGACAATAAACAAAGGGAAAACAAAGGAAAACAAGTCGCTGCATAATAATTCATGTTAAATGCCAAGAGAGAAATAATGTGCAGCACAAAGAATACTAGGAAGGATCTTCCGTTTAAAGAAATACCATCTTTTATTAGCCAAGCCCTAGTGCTGGACATTTTGGTTAATTGCCGTTTTTCTGTATACTGAACAGTACCACATTGTACTTCTCTGCTTAATTCTTGAGGCCCATCATTAATTACTTCTCTAGGGTTAATCCCTGGAAATGGGATTTCTAGGTGAAAGCATATAAATGTTTTCTTTAGTGGATTTTTCTTTCCTCTGTTTAAACACAATTTTACATTTTCCCTTTACTTACCTTTTTAAAAATTGTAAAATAACATGCTGTAAAATTTAAAAGGTGGGTGTGCAGTTATGTGAGTCTTAACACATTTCCTGCATAGATATATGTACTCACTACCACAGTCAAGATACAGATTATTTCAGGGCCAGAGTAGTTCTTCCACATCAGTGTGACCTCTTTGTAGATAAACCTTCACCCCACCCCAACCCCTGGCAACCAGCAATCTGTTCTCTGCACCCAGAGTTCTGCCTTTCCAGGAATGCCATGTGATTATTAAGCAGAATCATACATTATGTGAACATTGCAACTGGTTCTTTTACAAAACTGAATGCTGTTTTTGAAGTTCATCTGTGTTACTGTCATTTTAAAAAATTTTTCCTGAGTAGAATTCCACCGTATGGCTGTTTTACAGATTGTTTACCTACTCGCCTGTTAAAAGACACTTGGTGCATTAGTCAGTTTTCTGTTACTATAACAAAATACCTGAGACAATAAACTTAACAACAGGAAAGGGTCTTTTGGCTCACAGTTTTGAAAGTTGCAGGCCATGGTCAGCTGGCCCTTTTGCATTGGACCTGTGGTGAGGCAGGTATCATGGCAGGAGGATAGAACAGAGAAATCTGCTTTGTTCTCCTCATGGTAGTCATAAAACAGACGACAGACAGATTTGCATCCCACAGTCCTCTTCCAGGGTGTCCCTGGTGAGCTAAGACCTCCCACTAGGCCCAGTTCTTAAAGGTTGTCCCACCTCCCAGTAGTGCCAAGCTGCAGACCCAGCCTTTGGTGGGACCCATGGGCCTCTGAGGACGTTCTAGACCTTAACTCCAGCACTTGGGTGGTTTCAACCTTACTTAGAGTGGTAACAAACAGAGCTGCTACAAACGTCGGCACTCAGCCTTGGCTTTTTTCTCCCCTGCAAGTAAGTCTTTACTTCCTTCTTTTCTTCTTTTGGGGATTGAACTCGGGACCTTCACACTAAGCTCCATCTCTAGTTCTTTTTTTCAATTTTTTTTTTGAGACAGGGGCTTGCTGAAGGCTGGACTTGAACTTGCAGTCCTCCCTCCTTGGCCCCCCAGAGTGCTGGGATTGCATGGTGTGCCATTATACCAGCAAGACCCTTTCTCTAGGGTACATGCTAGGCGTGGGCTTGCTGGATTATGAAGAAGGTGTTGGTTTAATTATGTAAGATGCTGGTAAACTATGTTCCTGCCAGCCTTGTCTGCGAGTCCCACATCCTCCCTGTACCCTGGCATCACCCAGTTTTCTTCCTTCTACTGTAATAGGTGTGCAGTGAAATTTTGCCCCCCCCCCAGGAGGCTTTGAGACAGGGTCTCACTGTGCAGTCTAAGCTGGCCTTGGACTGTAGCTCAGACTGACCTCCAACTTGTGGTGATCCTCCTGCCTCAGCCTCTGCACACCCTTCTTTAACTTGGCATTGTCCTGACAGGTAGTGGTGTTGATTCCATTCCCACGTGCCTTTGTCCTTTGTCTTTCCTGACTTGTCTGTTCATATACTCGGCCCACTTTTTCTTTCACACATCACTATTCACTAAATGCCATACTTTATTCAAATTTTGCTAGTTTCCCCCTAAAATCCTTACTCAGGGATGCCTATCTCAGGTCCTATGCTCTGAGACTTTCTCTCTTCAAAGAAGCACTGCAGGGCTTTGCCTGGTGCGTGTTGGGAATGAGCGCCCACATCCCCCTTGTGTCCTCTGTAAGCTGCAGCCCTTGAGGGTGAGGGTGAGGGTCCTCCGTGTGTGTTTCCTGAAATGTCACCTAGCATTTCTGCTGCTTTGGAATTAAGGGCTGGGCCTGCAGCTAACATGGGGACATGGAGGCCGGAGGTCAGGCCAGAGCCCACAGGGTGGGACGGGATCGAGGCTGACCTTTGGCCCTGCCCAGTCCCAGAGGGACAGTGACGGGTTTAGCCCGGCCCAGTAGGTAGCCCGGCCCAGTAGGTAGCACCGAGGGCTCCCTGGCCTCGGCTGGTGGCATTAAGGAGATTATGTCGGCACTGAGTGCCTGGCCACAAGGTGTGTGGGGCCAGCTTACTGGGAACAGCAAGCCCCGTGTCCCCCATAAAGCAGATGTTTGGAGGGAGAACAGATGCAATGAGAGCCGCTGAGGATAAAATTACTCAGCTCTGTTAGCCGCATGCTGCATATGCATAGCCTGGGGACAGCTGCACACAAGCACGCACTCTCCTGTGTGTTCAGGGCGAGGCTTGCTCACACCCACATGCTCACACCTGCACACCCTGCACCCGTGTGCCCCACACCTCTGCCAGCAGTGCGGGTGCACACAGGAGACTGCACAAAGGGTCCCAGCACCCTGCCGCCAAAGGGCTCCAGAAGTCCCTCTTGTCTCCATCATCACCAAGAAGGGAAAAGAAAAACATCAGTCACCTCTGGAAATCTCTCAGGTCACACAGTTGCAGCTCTAGAGTGTCACTGGGTGGCCGAGGACAGGAACACGGCGCTCCGGGGATGAAGGAAGCTTTCCTATTGCTTGCATTTCCTGAGCTGAAACCCAGCCAGGGCTCCCAGGAGCTCTTCCCAGGGGTGCTGGGGCAGAGGTGCGGGTGGGGGTGTGACCTTGGCCCTTCGGCGGGGGCCGTGGGGATGATGGTGGCCTCACGGTGCTTGAGGGACCTTCGCTATCAGGAGGCCACACTGAGTGTGGACCTGTTGCGGGCCAAGTGTTGCTGTTTCACAGGTGCGGATGTTTGACTGTCTGTGTAGACGGATTGATTTCCGGGTCAGGACTGTGGGCAGTACAGCCGGCTGCACACCTCTCCCACTCCAGAGTCCACATGCAGCTGCCCCTGAGGTCTGGGAGAAGGCGGCCCTGTGCCATCACTGGTTCTCCTCATTTCTTCCCCTCACTGCATGGAGATGTGTGTGTCCCTCCAACTCTCTCAGTCTTCCTCTGCCTGAGCGGTCAGTCATCTCCTGCCACGTACGCCATCAACCCTAAAGTGTGACACTCATTTGGCTGACCCAGAACTTGCAGTCGTCCTGCCTCAGCCTCCCGGAGTACTGGGAGTACAGGCAGGCACCACCACACCCAGCTCCGTGCCTCTTTTTCCCATCTACCTTACTCTCATTGTATGGCAGGATGAAGTTGGTCTTTCATTTGCGTAACAGATGTTCTCTCCCTGTGCGCTGTGGGGTAGGGACATTGGCAGTGCCCAGGAGGCCAGGCAAAGCCCAGCCGTGTCCTTAGAAATTGCTCATTTGTTCTTCAGCAACCTCTCACTGCTCCTCTACCACCTGCCCCGCTCTGCTAAGCTCGGGGCTGGGAAGGACCACTGACCAGAAAGAGCCCCGGCCCTTGAGAGCTGATGTTCTGCAGGAGGGGCCAGACCTCGAGGGCTCCCTTTGCTCCTGGCCAGCAAGCAAAGGCAGAGCCCAGAAAGGCAAGCAGAGGACGAGCTGTCGCGGCTGGGAGGGCTTCCTGGAGGAGCTGGCGTTGATGGCATCTTGGAGGTCAGCTGGAGCGAGGGACATTTCAGGCAGGTGGCTGATGTGGGGACTGTGGAGGACCAAGGGGGCTGGCTCTTTGTATTGGTCGGGGCCTCTGTTTTCAGAGGCTGGTTATCAGCCAGCCCCACCATCACCTGTTTGGACAGCAATCTGCTGGCTCTGTGCAGGGCCCGGCAGGCTCCCTGTCCCATCCCTGGTGTCCACCAGCCTCGGGCCCCTGGAAACAGCAGTGGGGATGGCAGCCATGGGGACAGGCGGGGCTCCCACCGTCCCGGGGAAGGGCCCGGAGCAGCAAGCCAGACCTGAGGGAGACAACACGGGCTGGGTCTAGCGGGGACAGCGTGCCCTTGTTCTCTGGGCTGCGCGGCAGCTCTAGGTGGAGAAGCTGTAGGTGGAGGTAGGTGAAATAGATCTTAGGTCTCGGTGTCTGTAAGGACCATGGCTTGCTTTCATTCTGGGGCTAGAACTTGGGGGGACCTTTCCTTTGTTCTGTAAATTAGAGACCCAGCCTCAGAATTTAAAAGCAAGATTAATAATGGAGATTCCAGGCTTGGTCCGAAGGATTTCTCCCCTCTTCTTTGAGGACCCAGAAGCAGAATCCCTGCTGTCCCCAGCCCGACACAGCTGCCTCCTTCCGCCTCTCTGCTCTTGGGCATCCTGGGGGCAGGGGGGCTGAGGCGGAGCCGGACACCCTGCTTGTTGCCCCCTCTGTGGACAGGCAGGTGGAGGTGAGGTTCGCAGATCACACACACGATGTCCCAGACGATGGTAGACCGAGACCGGGAGCCAGCAGGTCCCCTGGGGCGGCTGGCCTGGGCAGAACCGGACCCTCAGTGCTCACTGTGGGAGCCGGGACCTTTCGCCCCGCCCCACCTGCTCAGGGGCTGCTTCTCTTCTCTGAAGGATGAGCTGATGCAGTGAGGGTCCGGACTTCCTTCCGCCCCTCCCTGGAACCGGAGTCCATGACACCGCGTGTGCAGTAGACAGACCCAGAAGCCAGGGCTGTGCTCTGTTAATAACACAGGGGTTATTAACAGTTTCTGGTCTCAGTTTCTCCCCAAGCCGGGCAGAGGCAGATGAGGGATGGGGGCAGAGCAGGGCGAGCGCAGGGCAGGGCTGCCTCCCAGGCCCGTCCCCTAGGAAGTTGCACAACAGGGATGTTTATTTTGGGTGAGCTGGGTGGGATTTCTTTCCTTTAAAAAAAGACCCAAAACATAAAACTTACTTGTCTGCCAGGAAGATAAGTATCTTTGCTGAAAGCCCTTGGCCCGGCTGCCAGCTGCAATTGCGTGACTGCTGTCACTGAAGCTGTGGCCACCTGTGTGTGCCCGGGCTCACAGGGTGTCACCCACGATGCCCTGGGCAGCTCCCCTGTCCCTGTGGCATCTGGACTGTGCGTGGTTCTCAGGCACCGGTTCCCTGTCCTCAGTGCTGGCAGGGGGCGGGGGTGACGAGAAAACGTCCCTCTCCACTTCCCCCATGCACACAGAAGCCAGGGAGGAGGGGACTCTGCCCTTCAATGCTGGCCACCTTGACCTGTTTCCAGAGCAAGGGACCAAGGGGCCAAAGGGTGAGGCTCGTGCCTGCTGCACTGTGGTGTGATGATCCCGACAGCATCTTCATTTATAGGTGGGGAAACTGAGGCGCGAAGAGGTTAGCTGGGCTGTCCAGAGCACAGACCCAGGCTCACAGGTGGGGCTCCTGCCCCGTGCTGGGGTGTCCACCTGGGACGCTGCCAAGCTGCCCTCCCCCGGTCTCCCAGCCTGGGCTCTGGCTCGGCATCCTGGCCTGCGTGGTGACTCAAGTCCCTTCCAGCCCTGAGTGGCCAGTTCCACTGGCTGGGGGCCAGGGTGTGTAGACAGCTTCTTCGAGAAGTGGGCCAGACACTGCTGTAAAAGGAAAGATGTCGGTGCCTTGGTTGTTGTGCCGCCTCCCGAGGAGAAAGAGCCCTCATTTGGGTGGCAGGAGAGACCAGTGAGTGCCAAGGGTGCAGTGGAGGACGGGATGTGGCCCCAGCCCTGGGATCTTTAGGCTGGGTGGTTGGTTGGTTGGTTTGAAACAGGATCTCACTACGTAGTTCAGGCTGGCCTTGAATTTGTAGTGATCCTTCTGCCTCAGCCTCCTGAGTGCTGGGATTACAGGGGTGTGCCGCCGTGCCTAGGACTCAGCAATGGAATCTTGAGGCACAGAAGGCTCCACAGCTGCTGTTTAACCTAAATGGGACCAGACTGTCACCGTGCTAGTCTCTTGCTCTCACCCCAAACGCATGGGTCTCAGACCTGGCTTTGGAACAAGTTCTCCCCTCCACCCAGGGAGGCTAACGTGCTGGGCAGCACCCTTTGGGCCACAGAGGTTCCAGTAGAGGCTCTCTCCGGAGCAGGACACTGGCATCTTGGGGTGGGGATGAAAGTGGCAGAGGTCAGGCGGATCAGCCCAGAGCCCTAGGTTCAGAGAAGGACACGCGGCTGCTAATGAAGCCAGGATTGAGCCCCTTCTCCCACTCAGCTCCCCCAGGGTCCCCCCTCTTTTGCTTGCTTCAGCTACTGCCTTCTGACCTTGTTTCCTCCTCCCTCAGCCAAAGAGAGCTCCCTGGGAGAGCCAGACTTGCCCCCTGACACCGATACCGTGGGCATGGACAGCAGCTACCTCAGTGTGAAGGAGACGGGGGTGAAGGGGCCCCAGGACCGGGCCAGTGCTGACCTCCCCAGCCCGCTGGAGAAGGCCGACTCTGAGAGCAACAAGGGCAAGAAGCGGCGGAACCGTACCACCTTCACCAGCTACCAGCTGGAGGAGCTCGAGAAGGTCTTCCAGAAGACACACTACCCAGACGTGTACGCACGGGAGCAGCTGGCCATGAGGACGGACCTCACCGAGGCTCGTGTGCAGGTCAGTGGGGCTGCGGGGTGCTGTAGGGGCTCTCCCTGAGGGGCTGAGTGTGGGGGTCCCGGCCGCCCCTCATACCCCTGTCCACCCGGAGGGTCTGCTCCTACCCCCTCCTTAGAGACCACTGTCCTGTGTGAGGTCTGTGGGGGACGGGAAGACGGCTGGCTAAACCAGCACAACCCAACTCAACTCAGCCCAGCACAACATAGCTCCGTACAACCTAGCACGACCCAGCTCAACATAACACAGCTTAACTCACTCAACCCAACACAACCCAACCCAACGCGAGGCAGCACAGCACAACTAACTCAGACCGACACAGCTCAGCGCAGTTCTACCTCACTCGACACCGCACAATCAAACCGGGTCACTTTGTACCACGTTGTCCTGTTTTTATCTTCCTTTTGGAATTTGTGACTGGCTTGTTGTTTATTTGTCTCTTCCCACTAGAAAATGGGTTCCTAGTGGTCACCACTATATTCCCACCAACTGCAGAAGGCTGACTTCAGACTAACCTGGGCAAAAACTAAGTATCTGTAGACCAGTCCCCCTGCTCTGCTCATACAGGTGTGTCCCCCTCCCTGTAGGAAACCATAGCAAAGGAAGAGCTAGGAAGAAAGCAGAGATCTCTGAGTAGCCAACCAAATACAGGTCACCACGCACATGCATTAGAGCTCACCGTTTAACACAAACTAAATATCACATTCAGGCTGCTTTTCTATCATATAGAGCAAGCTAGGAATGGCAAGTACCCTGCTGTCATCCAACAGCTTCCCTTCCCTGGACCAGGAAAGCATTTTCCTGGACAGCAAAGATTTTTTTTTTTTAAATCTGCACAGCGTAGTACAGCCCAGGAGCATAGACCACTGAGTGTGAGGACTCAGAGCCCCGTGGTCCTTGGCGGGCCTTGAGGGCACTGTGGCCTTAGTTCAGCACAGACCCTTCAGCGGGGAGTTCTAAGGCCTCAATAACAGAGCCATTTGTGATTTAGTCCAGAAACTCTCTCGTGAGAAATGGCTGGTGCGCAGAAGCCTGGGGTTAACGGTACCTACACAGCTTCCAGATCCTGCAGCCGCCGGACAGCGCTTCCGGTACACTCAGCTGAGCTGGAAGTGCATGTGAGGAAGGCAGGCAGCGCACCCGCTTTACACCAGATCGCCCCGCATGGGACTGTGGCCCCCGGAGTCTGGGCAGCAACCGCATCCGGCCTCGGCTGCGCCCGGTGGGTGTGGAGAGCTGTGGGAGCGGGCAGAGAAAGGGCAGGTGTTTCTGTGACGTCCCACAGTGCTGTGGCAGTGGGGATGAGGGGTTCGTCTTCCGCTGGGTGTGTGTGTGCCTACGTGTGCTGCACACATGTGTCCTAACGTTCTTTTATTGTTCGGTCACCTACCTCTGCCTACTTCCGAAGCAGAGTCAAGGCAGTTTACAGTGAAAGATTTCTTTAATCCAAGATCAAAGACCAGTGTCTTGAAGCGGGACGGTAATTATATTACAAATCTAGGCCTCTTCAGCCTTGAGCTTCCTGGCAGCCAAAGCAGAAAAGGAAACCCTGATATGTAGCGTATCTCACCATCATAGGGGAGGGAAATGGAATCACAGTACGGTGTGGAGGGTATCGCTTGATCTTCTCCCTTGATAGAAGAAGAAAGGCCCAGAGGTGGACAGAGATAGTTTGAAGTTAGAGCACCTCAGCAGCAATGCTGAGCCTGGAATTCAGGACGCGAGCTGGTCGGTGGCGCACTCGGACAACACGTGCCAGACTGTTTCGATGCTGTTTTTGTACAAAGCAGCGGGGTGGGTGGGATCTCCATGTGCGTCAGACCTCGGGATTGGGAGAAGCCTGGCACTGCCCTGGGGGACACAGTGTGATAGAACGCCCTGCCTGCCTCCGTGGAGTTGGTTCGGGGCCCATGCTCAGCTGGTGGCCAGCCAGGTGCCCAGTGTAGGAGTAGCAGCGACGGAGTGAGGGTCCCAAGATGGACTTTTCCTGGGAAGAAGCCCGGGGCTTGGCCCTGCTCCAGGGGCGGCAGGGGCCTCTCACTGCTGTCTGGGATTCCAGCCTCCACAGCTGGTATCTGAAGACAATAAGGCAAGGCCTCCCCGCCCTGGGCCACCCCGCCCCGGCCCCAGATGGGCTGCGGTTAGGAGGCCTCCGCCAAGACAGTTGGTTCCTTGCACAGCCTGGTCCTCGGGAGAGGCCCTGTGCTGAGTGGGCCAGGCCCCGGGTGGGCCGGGGAGCGGGGTGGTCCTGGGGTGCGAGCGACATCAGAAGGGTAGAGCGGCTCTCCTCCCGGGCTGCAGCGGCGACGGCAGGGCCCTGAGGCCCAGGGGCTCGGCTGCAGGGTCGCAAGACCCATGGATGGGAGCAGAGGGGGGCCCACGGGGGGGCCCCTGCCACCTCCCAGGGTAACATAGCTGGTAGTCTGTGTTTCCTTTTCTGACTAAGAGTTTGTGGTACGTAGTGATCACGTTCATTGTGGGGACTTGATGTCCACACAGCACACATCTTAGTTATTTTTTCATCCCTGCCTCCTTCGCACTGCGAAAGTTCTGTTAGTGTTGATCTGAGCAGAAACTCCGGCCCCGTGGACGGGGGGAGGCTTTAGGGGTCGGAGGGACACACTGCAACGCCCTCAAATCAGTCCTGCAGCCTGGCCTCGCCTTCTGCCCCCGTTTGTCCTCCCAGATGATCTGGGCTCCCCAGCACCCACCCCCCCACCGCCCACAATCCATCCCTCACCTGTTCCTCCCCTTGGTTCTGGACCCCTTGCCAGACACCAGCCACCTCCTCCCCTGGCCCCTGGGTTGCTCCCTTCTGGACCTGGGTCTCCTGTTCCCCAGTGACACTATGTTCCCACAGCGAGGGGACCCAGAGCCCACAGAGACAGAAGGGGACAAACATCAACTTGTCTGACTGTGGTCCTACCCCCAAAGAAAGGAGCCTGCTATCTTGATGTCTCCTGTGCCGCCCCCCCCAAAAAAGCCCTGGGAGGCTGAGGCAGGAGCGGAAAGATTTAGCTCAGCCTGCAGGAAATTAAACATGAAATGAAAACAAGCTCCTAGGATTCGTGCTCCCACCCCCATTCCAGGCTGCTGATAAAGGGGGATCTTGTTTCACAGCGTGGAGGAGACCTGGTGTGCCCTTGGCTCCCAGTGGGCAGCCTGGCCTGGACCCCAGGGGCTCCAGGAGGCTGCAGGGCAGGGACTGAGACCCCAAGCCAGCTCTCCAGGGAGGTCACAGGAAGGGCGCTCTGTGTGTGGGGGGTACATGCACATGCATGGGGCACATGTGCACACACGGCACGTGGGGTTAGGGTCGGGAGAGGCGCTGGAGCAGCAGTGGAGAAACCCCAGTGCGCCGCCTCTTCTCGCACTAATGGGACCCACACCCCACCCCCTCTGTCCGACCACTTTCCTCTGGCAAGAGACAACCAGGAGGTCAGAGCTATCAAAAACAAATGCAGAGTCCTCCAAGAACTTCCGGACCCCTGCTGCTCCCGTGTGGCACCATCCCTACCCTGTGAAGCGGTGGCACAGACCGGGCCCATGGTACAGATGCAGAAACAGAGGCACTGGCAACGCCACTGCAGTTCCACGGGTCCCACAGGCTGGGCAGCATCCGTGGGGGGCGCATCCACTGGGCTCCTTCGCCCTCCTTGGGGCTTGAGCAGGAGGGAACCGGTGGGGACTCCTTCCAGACCTGCAGCGGATGGGTGGGGTAGGGAGGTGCTGCCTGCAGGCCTTCGTGCAGACCTGGAGGAGCCTTGTGAGACTGCTCCCCGGGTGCTGGGTGCTGTGCCCACTCATACCCACGTCTCTGGCAGACAGTGCCTCTGGGAGTGCCAGGGTCTGCCCAGGACGCCCCGGGAGGGAAGCCCATTCTGGCAGGAAGCCAACCCTCTTCATCTTCCTCTCCCACCCACTCTGACCTGTCACCAGAGCCTTGGGACAGTAGCCAGCCAGACCCGCTCTTGCCAAGGACAAGGACCCACTGCCACCAGCACACGTGACTCAGAGCCCACCCTCCCTAGCCAGGTCCCCAGCGAGCCTTAGGCATGGCGTTTGGGGCCCAACTTCCCTGAAGCATCAGGCCTCGCTGGTCCCAAGCTCACACCGGACTGTCTTCCCCCAGCCCACCATCACAGGCCCAGTGCCTGCCCTCTCTCCCGGGAAGCAAGCCCTTCCTGACTGCCTCTGGTGCCCGCAGCGCCATGTGGAGTTCTGAGCTGGGAAACTGGGGAGGCAGGGGTAGGGATTCTGGATCCGGGCCTGCGGGCAGGAGCCAGAGCCTTTTGGGCAGAGCCGTGGAGAAGCTAACCACGTGTGATGGTCACAGTGGTGGCGAACCTGCGGCACATGTGCCGCTGCAGGCCGTCGGGGTCATTGCTGGTCCAGGAGAAGGGCTTTCTGCAGGGGCTGCGTAGCCATTGTAAGAGTGGGCCAGAGAGCCGTGGCCCACAGCAGAATGGGGTGCCCCTGTGTTGGGGTTGGTTAGAGGACTGCTAAGGGGGGATCTGTGACTCACTTCTACGTGTGTGACATTCGCCACTCTACATTCTGAAGCTCAAACAAGTGAAGTTACTGATCCAAGATCACGTCTGTGGCTACAGCTTTCTTTGTTTGTGCTTTGAGGCGGGGTCTTACTATGAAATCCAGGTTGGCCTCAGACTTGCAGTGAGTCTCCTGCCTCAGCCTCCCGCTACTAGGATTTATTTTTTATTTTTTTTGCTACAGCTTTCCATGATTGACAACTCCAAGGACAGAGACCCAGGCTGATGCTAACCTGTGGCCCATGCAGTGGGACCAGAAGGGGCTCAGAGGACACTGTACCCCCTGACCCCTGTGACATCCACTTTGTCCTGCAGGTCTGGTTCCAGAACCGCAGGGCCAAGTGGAGGAAGAGGGAACGCTTCGGGCAGATGCAGCAGGTTCGGACCCACTTCTCCACTGCCTACGAGCTGCCGCTGCTCACCCGGGCTGAGAACTACGCCCAGGTAAGGCCAGGCGCTGGTTCTTCCCAGCCCTGGGTCTGGCTCACTGCCTCAGTGTCCTTGCCTGTCAGCTGGGCACAGTAAGAGCATTTGGCCCAGGGCTGTGACCGCGTCTACGTTCTTTGTGAATTGGTCCCCAAAAGGCAGCTTTACCAGATCAGCCACAGGCTTCCGCATCCTGTCCTCCTGGCCTCTGAGCTCTTCTTGGTCACCGGTCATCCCAGGACTCAGTCAGGTGCAGAGGGCCCCACCTGGCCACGCCCTCAGCTCCACTGCGGACGCCAGTGGCAGGCAGCCTCCTCTGCCCCTCCCTGCCCATGCCAGTGGCCAGTGGCCTGGGGGTGAGGGCCAGGCTGGAGGGGAGCCTGAGGAATGGGGGTTTCTCCTGCATGCACAGGCTATGCCAGCTCCTGCTCCGTTCTCCTTCTCTGCCTCCCACCCCAAACTTGGCCTCCCTGAGACCCCAGGCCTGGCTCGTTGGCCTTGGTGGCTTCTATCTGAGCTCGAAGCTGGAGAGACAAAACCAACTCGAGGTGCTGTTCCTCTCTCCTTCCTGCAGTCCAGCAAGCCCCAGGCTTCTGGTGCTTCCAAGAGAACTTGGTGAGGGTCATGGGGCAGGGTGTGGTATGGCCAGTCTGCAGCTGCCAGATGCCCTGAGAATGCTCTGTGGGACCTGGGGGCCCAGCACCCTTCCATTCTGCTTTTTACTTTATGGATGATTGACTGCAGTGCTGGGGTTTGGACCCAAGGCCTTCTCACTGAGCTATATCCTCAGCCCTTTTTATTATTTCGAAGCAGGGTCTTGCTGTGTCACTAAGATAACCAGGTTGAACTTGTGATCCTCCTGCCTCAGCCTCCCAGAGTGCTAGGATTACAAGTGTGCATCTCCATGTCGGCTCCATTCTGCTTAAAAACATATATATGGAGCGCTTCACGAATTTGCGTGTCACCCTTGCTCAGGGGCCATGCTAATCTTCTCTGTATCGTTCCAATTTTAGTATATGTGCTGCCGAAGCGAAAACTCCATTCTGCTTGTTAATACCTCCCTAGCCCTGCAGACACTTGAGGGAGGGTAGGCCCTCAGAAGCCTGCTTGCAGCCACCAAGAATCCCAAGCATGGGAAGTGCATGGTGTCCTCGAAGCTGGTCCTCCACACCCCATCTGCCTCCTGGCAGATCTTAGCGGGCAGAGGAAGGCAGAAGTGGACTGGGGAGCTGGGGAGGCAGGCAGGGCAGGATCACTGATGGGAGGTGGGCGTTGCAAGCAGCCCCAGCCCTTGCAGTGCGACGCCATCCAGCCCGGCTCTACCTTCCCATCCCGAGGCTGTTCGCCCAGCGACACATGGAGGCTCAGCCCAGACTGAAACTGGGACGCCCCCGGCCAGCCCTTCCCTGGACCCTTCGCACGGCCCTAAGTTCAGCCGCCGACCCACCCTGGAGTGTCTGGGTGTCCACGAGCAGGCAGAGGTCACCCGAGGGAGGAGCCCTGAACCGCTACCCACCGTGACCTCTCTCCCCACCCCCCCCAGATTCAGAACCCAACCTGGATCGGCAACAACGGGGCCGCCTCGCCGGTGCCCGCCTGCGTGGTGCCCTGTGACCCGGTGCCCGCCTGCATGTCCCCCC